CCAAAGAATCGTTCTTGACACTTGTTGAAAGGCTTGCAGCCGCTTTAGAAAAGCAGATCGAGGATGAAAATTTGAGGCAGGTTTTATGCAAGACTTTGGCAAAGGACAACGCAAATGATGACTGCAGAAAAACCATAAATGTGTTGCCAGGTGACCCATCATTGGCAGACATGGTCAAAGCTTGTTCCAGGGTTGGGATGGTGGACCATAAAATGTCTGTTCTGGCAGCAACCTTGCAGGCAGGCCTGCCACCCTCAGGGACTGGTCGAGGCAAGAAGAAAGGCAAGCAGGCACAGGGGACCAAAGTAAGGAAAGGGCCAGACTCTAATTTCTTGTGCTCCAGGTGTGGGAAGCCAGGTTAATTTGCAAGCAAATGCAAGTCTACCTACCATGACCACAGCAAATGTTTGACAGGTTTGGGAAATGCAGGAAAGAGCACACAGGGGAACTGTGTGCCGACACAAGTGATCCCCCAGGGCACAGCACCACCACAGGGTGCCTAAGCCTCAGGGTAAGCCTCAGGCTCAGTGTAAGCACCCACGGCTCTGCAGGGGTAGATGTACACACTGCAGCAGCAGTCATCTTAGATTCTAGTAATGTGCATAAGGTTCCTCTGAATGCATTCGGGCCTTTAGGCCATGGGTTGAGTGCATTGCTGGTAGGACAATCTAGTACTACCCTTTTGGGAATCTTTGTGCACCCGGGTGACATTGACTCTGATTTTATGGGCCAGATTTGTGCTACAGTTTCCACACCCTCCCCCCATCATTATTCCAGCAGGGACCCACATTGCTCAGCTTGTGGTTTTCCAGTCGTGTGTTCCCAGGGCAGATCAAGGGACGTGTGGAGATGGTGATTTTGGATCCACAGGACCGCTGCGAGTCCTCTGGTCCATGGTCATTTCTGCCAACTGTCTGCAAACAGGTCCCAGCCCCATTCTGATCATGCCCAGATCTACTCTAGGTGTCCCAACCCCATTTCTGGGGGTGCCCAGCTGAGTTTTGGGAGTCTGCAGGTCCATTCTGGGAGTCCCAACCCTATTCTGATGGTGCCTAGCCCCATTCTGGGTGTCTCAGATCCATTCTGGTGTTCCCAGGCCCAATCTGAGGGTTCCAGCCCCATTTCTGGGGGTGCCAAGCCCATTTCTGGGGCTTTTAGGTCCATGGGGCCACCTTCATCATGAGGGAGCCCTGAAGCTTCCCAAAATATTCCCACCCAGGGCAGGTGTTCCCCAAGGGAGTTTTGGTGGCCCCTGGGATAGCAGAGGATTAGGGAGGGGGGGTTTTCCAGGCTGGGAGCTGTTTCCAAGGAGAGATTTTCTGGAGTTCTGTCTCTTTTTGTCATGCATGGGCCCCTCCCCATGGACCTAAAAACCCCAGAAATGGGGCTGGGACCCTCAGACACCCCTCCCCATGAAACTAAACCTGCAGAAATGGGACTGGAACCCCCAGGGACCCCTCCACATGGACCTAAAACCTTCTGAAATGGGGCTGGGAGCCCCAGAAACCCCTCCCTATGGACCTGGTGTCACAATCCACCCGCAGGGTCAAAGGAATCCTGACAGTTCTTTTCAGCGATCCCAAAAGTGCAAAAGACAAACAGCAGGGGACTGTCAGCTAATCACAACAAATGCACCTTTATTAGGGGCCAAGACAATGAATGCAATAGTGGGGTAAGAAAAGAAATAAAAAGGATAGAGAGAGAGAGAGAAGGGGGGATGGGAATAGCTACCAACACAGGTTAGGTCCTCACTGGTCCAGATGATGGGGATCCATCTTGTTGTGTTGGGGAGAGTCTCCAAAGTCCTACCTAACCCAAGGGTCCAGTTATAGTCCACAGAGGGAAAAGGGGTGAACAGGCAGAACACTGAGAGTCTATTGAAATTGCTGTGGGGGAACAGGTGAATCCACTGAAACCACCAAGGCAGGACGAACACAATGAAGAATAAGTCCATTGGAGTTACTGGAGAAGAACAGGTCATGTAAACAATGGTCACACCACCATTCCCCCCACCACTCCCTGTGGTAGGTGTCTCAGTCCTTGGGGAGAGGGTTCTTGATCTCCGTCTGTCACGGTGGTAATGAGGCAGGTGAGGGGTCTTCAGTGAGAGACCACCAGGGTCACCCCAACAGTTCATTTGGTTTAAGGGTGGAGAGTGAAGCAGGAGTTGCAGTAGGCCGCTCCGTGCTGGGTCCGTGCTGGGTCTTTGCCAAGTTCTTGCCAAGTCCTTGCCAAGTCCTTGCCAGGCCTCGTTGGGAGCAGCTGCCATGAAGGTGCAGCGGCTGCACCTGCACTGTTGCCTTCTCCAAGCCGGAACTGCAGCAGGGGGGGTTTTCCTCCTCGTGGCAATTGGCAGGCAAATGAGTGAGGGTCTTCAGAGGGCCTCTTACAGGGTTCAAGGGAACAATGTGGGGGGATTTGGGTGTGTCCTGACCTTCTCCTTCTTGCCCTCCATGTCTTGCTGAGATGATGACACTTTTCTATTGGTTGAAGGTAGAGACACACTGTCCAACAAAAATGATAGATATTGGCACGTTATTGTAAACACAGTACAGGTAGTTTTTAGTGTAAAAGGTAAACAGTGCCCTGAGGGCAGGGAGGCTGCCACAGACCGAGCTGCCAGACAGAGCTCAGCAGAGCAGACAAAGCGTGTTAGAGACAAGGGAAAATAAACGGCCCTGAGAAGCAAAGCTCCGCATCTCGACTCCTTCTCTGCCTGCGTGGGCTGAGAGAAAAGGACTTTTCACAATCTCAGGGTCATCTCGACCACCAGAAAACTGAGGGGGGGGTTTCCACTCATCCCAGTGCCCAGTGAGGGGGGGGGGGTCAGTGCTTGAGGGCGGGTCGGGGGCACTGAAGGGGGGGCGGGTGCGGTTTTTGGGGGGTCCTGGCACCCCCCTGGGCAGGGTCAGTGCTCAGCAGCAGGGGCTGCCTGGGGACTCCCCGGCCCCAAATCCCAGCCGGGGATCACCTAAAGAGACAATAAAACATATGAAAACTGACTGTAAATACTATAACAACACCTTAATACCTTAATACCTTAATAATAATTCTTATCACAAAAATCAGACAACTCACATTTTATGATTAACTTATTAATAAGAAATGTTTAAAATAGTTTAAGCAAATCCTTTCAAAGCACTCATATAACATTAGTAACAATCACTACTTATCATTACTTACAAAAACTTAACAATCACTATTTATCGTATTATCTATAAAACTTAAAAATCACTATTATTTATATTATTATCTATAAAAACCCAAAGACAGAGATTACAAACTCAATACTAAAATTCCATCAGGTGACATTTTCTCAACTCTTTGTTTGCAGAGACATTTTTGGTAATTAAATCATTACTAACATTT